AGAGAGAGAGAGAGAGAGAGAGAGAGAGAGAGAGAGAGAGAGAGAGAGAGAGAGAGAGAGAGAGAGAGAGAGAGAGAGAGAGAGGGTTGAACATGGCACGTGATTTATGTGAATTGATAATACTGTTATGATCCTGGATATCTCACAGTGCAAGAACTCAAAGGAAGACAACGCCGTTCAATTGCAACTGAAATGAAAGAGATTGGAATGAGTAATAGACAAGGAGGAAGACGAAGGGGGAATGGAAGAAGAATCAGAAAATTAACACAAGCAAGAACAAATGTCACTCCTCCCTCACCTTGCCACCATGTCACACCTCCAGCATCTCTCCCAACATCTTATTAGTAATAAGAATAACAACAACAATGAATGAATAAACCAGAATCAATGTACAAGTCCTCCCCTTCCTGCCAGCCATCAAAAAGTCCACCATAGCCATCCTACACCTCCTCCTACTAGCGGGAGGAGGAGCGGGAGAAGGAGCGGGAGGGAAAAACAGGAAACGGGAAGGGGCGGAGGAGGCCCGGGAGGAGGAGCGGTAGAAAGAGCGGGAGGAAGAGCGGGAGGGGAAACGGGGAGGGGGTTAACGAACGCTCGGGAGGCGGAGGAGCGGGAGGAGATATAGATGGAAGAGGAGAAGCGGGAGGAGCGTGAGAGCGGGAGGAGGAGCGGGAGAAGGAGGGGGGGAAAGAGCAGGAGAAGCAGCGGGAGGAGGAGGAGGAGCAGCAGGAGCGGGAGCGGGAGCAGGAGAAGGAGAGGGAGGAGGAGAGGGAGGAGGAGAGGGAGGAGGAGCAGGAGAACGAGTGGGAGCGGGGCTATGGTGGGATCTTTGTCACGTTGTTTGGCGGAGCAGGAGCAGTAAGAGGAAGAGGAGGAGGAGGAGTGGGAGGAGCGGGAGGAGCGGGAGAAGGAGTGGGAGAACGAGCGGGGAAGGCGCGGGAGCGGGCCTATGGCGTGGGAAGAGGAGCGGGAGGAGGGGGAGGAGGAACGGGGGAAGAGCAAGAGAAGCAGCGGGAGAAGGAGGAGCAGGAGGATCCCGGGGAGTAGCAAGAGGGGGAGCGGGAGAAGGAGAGGGAGGAGGAGCGGGAGAAGGAGTGGGAGCGGGGCTATGGTGGGATCTTTGTCACGCTGTTTGGCGGAGGAGCGGGAGGAGCGGGAGAAGGAGCGGGAGAAGGAGTGGGAGGGGCCTCTCACACACACACACACGTGTGCAAGTCTATATTTCCATGTTCTAGCAGTAGATTCGTTCAAGCAATCTCTCTCTCTCTCTCTCTCTCTCTCTCTCTCTCTCTCTCTCTCTCTCTCTCTCTCTCTCTCTCTCTCTCTCTGTGTGTGTATCACGCTACTTCTATCGAGATTTCTATCGAGATTAGCGTACGGTCTGGGCTGTTTCCCACACACACAGAGAGAGAGAGAGAGAGAGAGCACGACTCGGGATGACAACGGAATCAATACTCTCTCTCTCATTGGGCTCGACTTGGTGTTGATTCCATTGTCATCCCGAGTCGTGCTCTCTCTCTCTCTCTCTCTCTCTCTCTCTCTCTCTCTCT